CCATATTTTTTATTTTATTTTTTTGTCTTTTTTATATTTATTCGTGTTCGGTCGTGAACGCTCGGGTTCGGTCGCCGTACCCAAACACGATGCTACACAGTCTTTGTTCAGTTTATTTTTAGGTGAGTGTCATGACGCAACCGGACATTCCGGTTACAAAAAGACAACAACAGATTTAGCGCAACATTTTTGGTTGCCCACAATGGTTGATGATGCAAAGAGATATGTAGTGCAACATTTTCGGTCGCCCACAATGATTGATGCCAGGTTTGCCAGCGCGACAAACCAGGGATGCAGGCACCGCTTGGGCTTATTAAGCCCTTGCCTATCCTTGCTGGTCCGACTCAGAGTGTGTCCATCGATTTTATGGATACAATTGTGACCTATGAATCCCCTGTGGCGGCGGCCAGGTTCAGGTGAGGCTGCGGCCGTGGCCGAGGTCACAACCTCGCGACCATGAAAAAATAATAATAATAGTAATAATCAGGGTTGACGGCGTTCGGGACGGGCCGAACGCCAGAACCCAATCGCCCGAATGCGGACCCAAAAAAAAAAAAAAAAAAAAAAAAAAAAAAAANAAAAAAAAAAAAAAAAAAAAAAAAAAATCTAAAACAAAATATGTTATACAGAAGAATAAACCAAACAACATTTGCCTCAACGTTACGTTCAAATTCTTTACCAAATTTGAAATTAAAATCAAATACTAAAAATAAATAATAATAATGAAAACTAGAAAAATAAAACGAGAATGAAATTATTGAGTGGGCGAGCACATTTTGGACACTGCTATCTTTGGTGATTTTTCATTTTTGTTTTGCTCTGACAAATGTCATGAAAATTTATATACGTGTATCTTACGTAATAGAGAATATACAAATAAAGTTTGAAAAAATAATAATTTTTTTCATGTCCCGAAATAAAGGAAAAACAAAAAGTGAAAAGAGAAAAAACACAAATTAGTGAGTCGGCAAGGAAGTTTTGACACCACCATCTTTGCTGATTTTTCATTTTTTTTGGCTGAACAGAATGGCTTCAAAAAAAATAAGAGGGAGATGCCTTGCATCACAAAGAACTCAGAGAAATATTTTCAGAAAAAAAAAAAATATTTAGGTGCCAAAAGATTTTTTTGTGGGGTCCAAACCCCTTCAGATTCGGGCCCCATACGGGGACCCGAACGCCCGAACGTTCGGGGGTCATCTTAGGGGCCTGGCACCCCTGATAATAATAATAATTCTGGGAAAAGATATGTTATGCAAAAAAAATAAAAAAATTAATAATAATAATAATCCTAAGCTACCAGCCGGGCCGCCTGGGTCCCGGGTGGCCAGCCCGTGCAAGGACTAGGGAAGGTCCCAGCAAAAAAACAAAACAAAAAAAAAAAATCCGGAAAAAAACAATGTTATGCAGAAAATTAAACTGAAAAAAAAAAAGAAAAAAAAAAAAGAAACTGAACAACTTTTGCCTCAGGGTCACATCAAAATTCTACGTACGTGCCTGGGCAAACATTGGTGTTCTACCAGCTAGAGGTAACCCGTTGGCCCCCTAAGCCAGCATTGGCAGGACTTTGGCTGATGTTGTTGGCTGCTATGCAGCGACATTATTGGCCATTAGACACCGCCATGCGGGGTTGGGGGGGGGTAGGGGGAGGTGCAGTGACTGGCCATTGCTCGGCGCTAGCACCGCCGATTTCCCCCATCGGCAATGCCTGCCCACCCCTCGTCACCGTGATGAGGGACTGGTACAGCCTTGCTCTCGCACCACAGCTGTGGTGCAAACCTACCCCGTGAGCTGGGGAGAGATCCGGGTTGGTTGGTGTTCCCCCGTACTATAAATAGACTAGTGAGAGGATGAGATAGATGCGTACTACCAAGAAAGATGAAATCGATTAGAGAAGAATATAGATTCCTTTTTTCAAAAAAAAAAATTCTTCACCAAATTTAAAATAAGAAATAAAATTTAAATATATATATATCGTCAAATAGAACTGGCCGGTAAACCGTAGGCAGAGAGGGAGAAGAGGACAACAAACGAGGGGCTGTGACAAACTGTTTCGTCGGAGTTTCACCGACTCATCAGGAGGCTGAATATATATTTTCCTTTTCATTTTTTTGGGAGCAAGGGCAATCAATGCTGGCAGACCTCACTGTCACCGTTCTCTTTGTTCTCAGACATCCTCATTTTCTGTACATGGGACGCTGGACCCGTTTTCCAGCAGGTGATGCTCCCCACCAATAGATGGAGCCTCCCTCCTGGTGTTAGTGGTGTCTGCTCTTATCAGCAGCACTAACATCGGTGGGGGCGTTTTCTTTTCTTTTTTTTCTTTTAAAGGAAAAAAAAGAAAAGAAACATTTTTTTGGCAGAAAGTGACCCCGGGCCAGTCTGGTAGCGTAGTAATAATCATAATTCTGGAAAAAATATGTTATGCAAGAATAAATTGAACAACTTTTGCCTAATGGTCAAATCCAAACACTTTACAAAATTTGAAATGAAAAAACAAATAAGTATTATTATTTTTTTTTACAAAAAAAAAAAACAGTTTTTTCCACTGGAAAATTAAAATTTTAATTTTTAAAATTCAAAGACGAAGTAAAAAAAACAAAAACAAAAAACAAAATTTGTGCAATGTAGATCTTGAAAAGATCTACAACATCCTTTTCACTTTTTTTTTTGAGAATTTTTTGAACCCTGAAAAAATTCTTAAAAGTTGCGGTCGCACCCCACCCGTGGCTAGAGGGCGGCGGTCGGGATACCGGCCGCATGCCGAGTTTGACCCCGCGGCCGCGGCCTCGGATGATACATAGCTTGTGACCAGCAAAAACGGTAAAAGGCACATCTTCGTCATGGTGGACAGGTTCAGTAAGTATGTTAGACTGATCGCTTTGCCTGAGACAGCCAGGACTCACCACGTCATCAAGTTGTTTACGGACAACTCCGTCCGTGGCTTCGATCTCCCGAAGTCCATCGTTAGTACAGCCCAACAGATGGGCACCCAACTGCAAATGACATCAGGGAACCACCCTGAGTCAAATGGCCAGGCAGAGTAGATGAACCAGGTAGTGCAGCACTTGCTTCGGCATTATATTAAGCGAAGTCAAGATGACTGGGATAAGAAGCTATACCTCATCGCCAGCCTGTACAACAATGCTGTGCACAGCACTACCGGTATGACTCCCAACCAGCCGCATCTTGGTTGGAAGGCCAGATTTGCTCTCAACTTTCTGGTGCCTGAAAATCAGCCAACTGCAGCACCAGGCAGCATGTAGTTTGCTGTCAAGTACAAACAGATGCTGCAGCAGGCTGTCGAGCACATCAAGAGAGCTCAAGATGCCATGGTTGTATCTGAGAACATACACAGACGACCATCTACGTTTCGGGTAGGTGAGCGAGTCTGGGTAAAGTCATCTGAGTTGGGACAGGAGATAGGAATCTCACGTGAACTGATGCCACAGTACTTTGGACCCTGGGAAGTTCTTGATGTAGTGGGAGATCAACCAGATGGTCCATATGTCATTCGCATCCCTGGTCACCTTCGAACACACTATTTTTCATGCATCCAAGTTAGCACTTTTCGCTGAAACAGAACAGTTTCCCTCCAGGCGATCAATGCTGCACCCAACCATGGACAGACACGTAGACATTGGCAACATTGTTGAGCACAAGCTGATACCTGTGCCCAATACGCCCTCCAAAACCGCAGATGCAGAGTGCGGTTCTGACATCATATGGATCCTAAAGAAGATCAGTGGTTTACAAGAGAAGAATTAATGTAGACTGCTTCCCAGATTATCTCAAGTTGCGAAAGAACTTTGAAAGGGAAGCAGCCTGCTGTATAAGGACTTCTCAGAGGACTATCGAAGAAAAGGAGGAGGGAGTGCGAGGGTTTACCCCTCAGCATAAGGCCCTGCAGCACGCACGTGCCCGCCCTAAGTGAAGGCGCCCCCCCTGAATCTCAATGTGCCCTGAACTCGTCAATTTTTGCTAAACTTGCTGGGTTTCAGACAGTTGCCACACGCCAGTTGGTAACATCTGCTTTGCTCGCGAGAATCGGAAATATTTGTGAGCCTTCCAGGCTCTTCCAGCAACGTGGTCGAGTCAGGGAACACCGCACGTTTGTGCCTGGGTGGTTGGGCATGCCTAACCAATTCGGTCCCAGGCCACTCTCTGAACGGGCCTGGGCGCAGACACTTTGGCCCAACATGAAGCTAGAGGGCACACACACATTGAAGCCCGGCTGCAAACTGGGCGAGCACTTTCCGTATAGGAAAGAGCTCGCCAGGCAGAGGTCGTTCGGGCACTGGCTTGTGCAAACAGCAGCGCTGCTGGAGTGTGTGCTCGCGGGCTGCTTGCTGTGTGCTAGCGGATGCCGGGGGTGTGCGGGCGTCAAGGAAGAAGAAGGGTGCTGCTGAGGGCAGTGTCATAGCCCAGCCCACATAGCTGGCCTTGGGCTTGGACAGCCAGCAAGAGGTGGTGGTGGTCATCGTGTATGAGGGGGAAGACGTGGGTGAAGAAGACAAGGGAGGGAGAGAGAGAAATAAGATGGACGATGTGAGGGCATGTACCTGGTCTTGGCGATGGTCTACAGCGTTGACAGCGTCGACATCTTCATGTACTTCGGTTGTTGCCGCTGATGTCAACAGGTTGCATTGTCAATTTGTGGCTGGTAGTAGCTGTGTGATCGTAGTCTGGGCGCTGAGCGCCAAGTAGGAGGAAGGGCTCTGGATACATACATTGGTGGTGGCGAGAGTATGCTCTCATTGACATTTGAATTCGGTGCTTTGGTTCTCCGTTGGTGAATATCAGTGCATATCTGTTTTCTGGACAGCGTCCGACTTTCTGGCTTTCAATGCGATTTTGCATTCTGTCTTGCTGTCATTTCGCTATCGCTCATTTTCCGGAAAAAAATAGAAAACAGCATAAAACTTCAAGGCAAGGGCGCACTTTCACGCAAAATTCATCAAATTTTGCCCAACCCAAATTTCAGAAATGTCAGAAATGTCAACAGAGGAATTTTGAATGGTCCATCAGACACCAAATTTGACACACAGTAACCTTGATCTGAAACAAAAAAAAAAAAGGCGAAAAGAAAAAAAATCAAAAACACAAAAAATTTGACCCCCAAACCCTAATTTCAGTTGTGGGCCCGTTAGTCAGGGGCTGAAAATCGGGGGTCCCCATTAACCACTTGCGATGGAAACGCTAAGCTCACCTGCACACTACAGGCATGTCCTTCACCGCAATATGGACATTCATTCACTATCCCTCCTATGAAAAGGATAGTGAAAGGCGAACTCTCCACTAAAATCGACAGCATCTGTGTTGTTAAGCTCTCTTGAGGACAGTGGAGATGCCTACTCTGGTCCTTAACTCCATCCCCCATAAGGTGTTTTTAACTCCCCTGTTCTGTGTGTGTGTGTGTGTGTGTGTGTGTGTGTGTGTGTGTGTGTGTGTGTGTGTGTGTGTGTGTGTGTGTGTGTGAGAGAGAGAGAGAGAGAGAGAGAGAGAGAGAGAGAGAGAGAGAGAGAGAGAGAGAGAGAGAGAGAGCAYCCACTTGGGTCCTTCTGTTCTCTTGCATTCCTACTGGGAAATGTACACGTGGATGCGACACAGAATCCCCTATCCCAAGTCATGCCAAAAAGGTTGAAATAACCCCAAAAGAACGCAGTTGTAATCGGCACCAAACATGCCATCTGATGCTCTGTCCGTAAATGTGATTCAAGGGCCTTCCATATGGCGCCATGGATTTCTCGTGTCTGTCTGATAGACCTTAAGACATGGACATAGCACCTTACCGAATGATTTGCAGATGGTAGGTAGACAACCAATCTATGTACAAGCAGCAGAAAGTGCGGAGGCAGTGTAAGAGCTTACTCGCTGCCCCTTTTTATAGTGAGGTCATGAATGCATTGCTACCCTTTATCTACATGTTCGTATACTGCCTTTTTTCACTGCTCCTGCATGCCTGACTGCACCTGGCACCGTGCAATTTTTCTGACGGGAACCGTGAGGCCGTCTGCAAGCCTGCAAACAAAGCTTGTGCATCACAGAGCGTGGACTGGAGGCAGGAAGCTAGATGCAGCGGGCAAGGTCAGGGAGAAACGGACCGCATCCTGTAACTGTGTCTGCGAGGAGAGGTTGGCAGCTGCCTGCAAGTCAGGTAGTGATTCAAATCGCCATGCCTGCAAGTTCAGCAGCACCTGACTGCAAACTACCCACGCTGCAGAATATTGGCCCCAACCTGTAAGTCTGGCAGAACTCTGCAGCCTGAATGTCTGACATGGAGCTGAAAGCAGATCTGCCCATTGGCTCGAAGAGCAGACGCTTCGCGTCTGAATCCCACGCATTGGAACTGAAGGATGCATTACATGAATTTACATCCGCTTCGCAGAACAAGGACCGCATGACAAGCAAGTGAGATGTTGCACGGAACTCGCTTGAGGTTGCTGTTGGGAGCACCTGCTGCAGCCTGCAACAAACTCCAGAAGGACAAGCAAGCTGGCAATACAAGCTGGTTCCTACAAGTCTCACAAGCTGGCATCTTAGCCTGCACATGTGCCAGAAAAAGCACCCGGATTCTGGATGGGATGGTGAACGGGCAGCAGAGGCGTGATTGAATCATCTGCAGCAATTCGCGTGAAGTATCATCAGGGGGAGAGAGATCCGACCCACCGAGTCAAGACTTCATTGAATTGCTCCGGGATTTCGTCATGCGGGCAATGCCCTGCTGGCACGCTGATCTTCTCAGCACGGGGATAGAGCGACATGATCCGCTCTGCCTTTGACGGCTCAATCCAGGGATCAAGTTCTCCCCATAACAGCAGAAGGGGCAAGTTCAATTTCGCAAGAAGCTCGTCCAGGGTCGTGAATGAGGACTTAACCATGGCTGACATCCCAACTCTGCGCCACCAAAGGCAAACACAATTAGGAAACAAACAGGAAGACTGTGTGAAAATACTAAAATAGTGTGAAAACAGTGTGAAAATAGTGTGAAAACAGTGTGGAAATAGTGGGGAAACAGAGTGAAAAGGAGGAGGAAAATGACTAGAGAAGGGGAAACCAATGTGAAGGCATCGGAAACCATATGACAACATGACAACTGCAGAAAAGGCAAGGCCCAGATTTTCACTCATACCTCTTAACTTCTCAAATCGTTTTAATGGGACGCTGGACCCATTTTCCAGCAGGTGTGGCTCCCCACCAACAGAATGGAGCATCCGGAACGCTCACTAGGGGAGGTTTCTCGTATCACCCCCCCTAGCGACGCTGTCCTGGCTTTTCAAAGCAAAAAAAAAAAGAAAAAAAAAAGAAAAGGAAAAAGAAAGGGCAAGTTCAATTTCGCAATAAGCTCTTCCAGAGGCGTGAACGAGGACTTCACCAAGGCTGACAGCCCGACTCTGCACCCCCAAAGGCAAAATTATTTTGGAACTCTAGAAACAAACAGGAGTTTACAGTGTGAAAATAGTGTGGAAACAGTGTGAAAAGGTGGAAGACGCCTAGAGGAGAATGGGCATGGGAAACCATGTAACAACCTCAGGAAGAAGATGTGAGAGCAAAGTACACAAATTCTAAGTTCTAACTGAAATGGTACATAAATTCACAACACACACACACACACACACACACACACACAAAATCAGTTTCATGTATGCCTGTTTTCTCATGTTGATTGTCCTTTCTGTTATTTTTTCTAAGCACTTTCTGTGTGTTTGAGTGAGCAAGGCTGCTAAATAGTAGGTGTTCCATAGTTTGGAGTGCCCGCAGGACTCCTAGGGGACCCACTTTGTCCATGATATCTGTGTGGTGCTTATGGTGTGTGGGTGATGACAGACGTCCGTTGGAGTGACCCCCTGGCTCAGTGGGTGGTGGGAACTGTTACATGCTGCGCATGCACACGCAGGCCATTTTCCAGGCCCTGCGCCCTTCAGCCAAAAAGCCTAGAATTCAGCCTGAAAACAGGGGCCTACAGTCCCTGTGT